TTGTAGGCTTAGTAGACTGCAGACAGTTGACAGAACGAGTGATTTGGGCTCTGAGAATTTCACAATTGGGTAGAAAGTGCTCTGAACCAAGCTACAGTGGTAATCACTGTAATAAAAGCAATTTTAAAATCTTTCTGGGCCAAATGGCCAAATTCTGAATGAGATAGTTCTTGAAATTGACTCTGACACACTTCAGCACCAAACAAGTAAGTTTGTTTCACGGACACTTTCAAATGGAGGAGGGTCCCGTTACTAACAAAGCCTCAATACAGATTCACATAGGATCTTAAGGAATCCTCCCAGGGGCTGTGGATATAGACCAGTGGCACTTGACTAGCTAAGTATCCATGACGCCCTAGGATCAAAAAAGACTCCCCTAAATAACCTCTCCCCAAACCAGGCATGGTATTCCCATCTGTAGCTCCAGCAACAGTGTCAGAGGCGGCAGTACAAGAATTTGAAGCCAGGGCCCCAGATTGCCAAGCTGGTAAGAGTGCTTATCACACGGCCTGACAGCTAGTGGTGCAACCTTAGAAGGTCACAGCTGAGAGACTAACATCTACAAAGCTGTCCTCCAAACCTCCACACACATATACACAACCGTTTAAAAAATAAGGGTTTGAGGCTAGCCAAGGAACCCTGCCTAAAAAACAACAACGAAACCACAAACTACAGCCACCACCAAAACATTTCTCCTTAGCAGTCCTTAATAACTAAAAAGGCAAATATGAACTCCAAGTGCAGTAATACTCTCCTAGAGTTCCGATCACTGGGAGTCAGAGGCAGATCACTGGAGGCTTCGAGTTCAACCAGCCCGATCACCACAACCAACAACAAAAAAATCAAAAAGACTTTTTTTCTTATTTATATAAAGCATGAGAAACAGGTTCTAGCAAGGAACATGTCTGAAATTCCAACAGCTCAGGAGGCTGAAGCAGGAAGATCACAGGTGCGAGGTCTTCCCAGGCTTGCAGGATAAGAGTTGCAGGCCAGCCTAGGGGGATACCTTAAGCACCTGCACTTATGTGTACATAGCCATCTCACACCCTATACACAGATCTACACATAATAAAAATGAAAATTAAAAATTTACAACATAGGGTCTTTTAATAGAAAAAAGAGGCCTTCAGGTGCAGCTCAGTGGTAGAGTGCTTCCCTAGCATAAAGGAGGCCGTGGATTCGATCCTTTGTGAAAGAAATGAGAGCTGGGTGTGTTGACACACACCTTTAATCCCAGCACTCAAGTGGCAGTGAGGCAGATCTGCGTTAGAGGCCAGCCTGATGTACAGAGTTTCAGACTGCTGGGGCTACAGTGAAACCTTGTGGGGATAGGAGAAAGGAACAGAGGGAAGGAGAGAGGGAGAAACATAGGGAAGCAGGGAAGTGTGGTGGTTCTTCATGACTACAATTGAAGAACTCCACAAACAGGCAGGGTGACATGAATTCAAGGTCAGTCTGAGCTACAAAGTGAATCCCTGTCTCAAAAAAAAAAAAAAAAAAAAAAGAAAGAAAGAAAAAAAGGAAAAGAAAAGGAAAAACCTCCAGAGGGAGTAAGTAAATCTAACTTACAGGGTCTAACTATGTAGCTGTGAGATCCTGCTGCCTCTAGCTCTGGAAGGCACTGGGATTAAAGGAGTATGCCATCCTGCCCAAGTCAAACTCAATTCTTGCCAAAATTCTAGAACTCTCATACAAGGTTTGTTAAGATTGTATCTTGACTTGCCAGGTGGTGGTGAGCATGCCTTTAATCCCAGCTCTCAGGGAGGCAGAGGCAGGCGGATCTCTGTTGAGTTTGAGGTTAGCCTAGTCTACACAAAGTGACTTCCACAACAGGCTCCAAAGCTACACAGAGAAACCCTATCTCGCAAATACAAAATAAAAAAGACTGTGTCTTGGGTAGCCCAGGCTAATACACACACACACACACACAATCATTCTCTTTCTCTTTCTCTTTCTCTCTCTCTCTCTCTCTCTCTCTCTCTCTCTCTCCAAGAGCTGGGATTACAGGTATAATCCCATATATAATTTATATATGCATACATAAATTTTGTATGCATATGCATCACACTCATCTTTCGTGCCTGTTGGAGCCCCTACACTGGAGCTAGGGATGGTTGTGAGGCATTGAGTAGGTGATATCAATCAAACCCCATCTCTGAAGAGCAACAAGTGAGTAATAATCACTCTTAACCACTGAGCCATCTCTTCAGGCGCCACTTCATTTTTTAAATAAGGAAGCTAATACAAGATACTCTGTGAAACTTATGAATGCCCAGGCTGATGATGGGCCTTGGTCTTAGGACGTATGAATCAAGAGCAACACCATGACAAAGTGGCTTCAAAACTGATGACTCTGAGGCCAACCTGAGCTAAAAGAGACTCTGCTGCAATAAAATACAGAAAGGTAAAAGATGACACTGATGAGCAAGAGACCAGAAAATAAAGAAATCTTGGGCCTGGGGTGTGAAGCTGAGCAGTAAGAACCTAGATTAGTGTAAGGTCCCAGATTAGATACCCAGCACTGCTTAAATCAATTTAAAGCTTCAGCGGAGTGTGGTGGAAATGCATGTAGTACTAACATCTGAGAAACTGAGGAAACAGGTAGAGGATCGAAGAAGGGTGAGGCCAACCAGGTCAGGCAGGACTATAACAAGGCACTATCTTAGTTTAGTAAAAATAAGCATGACAGTAAATAGGGCTAGTGTTTACTAATTATGTGTAGATGTCTAAGAACTTTCCGACAGAGAAAGTGGAGGATTAGGACTCAAGACCGACCATAGGCCCTTACAGACTGTGTTACACTGCCTCCTAAAGGTAAGGAAAGGTGACAGGGCAATCACAATACAATATCAAATTCTGCTCAAAGCACTAGGAAACTGTCACTAATATTAGCAAGGGAAAGAGAATCTCAGGTGGCTTTTTTTGAAGAGCAAGCTATCCCTCAAACTAAGGTTAGCTACAAATTAAGAAAAATGATTGAATATCAATTCAAAGTGGTAACACCTAAAATTCAATCAAGGAGACTAATATATAACCTCTAAGATTTAACAGAATGCCCTAAAAAAGTGGATGTCTCCTAGATCACATTAAAAGGCACTGTCATTAAGGGAATGGGAAGGGGTAGGTCAGAGATTAAGTTCAGTAAATGTTTTTTTGGATTTTTGTTTGTTTGTTTGTTTTAACCTAGGAATGAGCTGAGACCCAGGTAAATGCCTACAGGATACACCCATACTAGTTCTACCAGAAGTTTATCCCTGAGTTACGGAGCACTGAGCAGCTAATTGTAATTTTCAGTCTCATTCATGTTTGCCTACAGGACAGAATATTCTTGGTCTACTGTAGATTAAAAAATATGGATTGTGTTTTCTTAAAGTTGTAAATACTAACCTACCAATATGTAAAAAACTCAAGCTTTTCATTTTTACAAGCCACAACAACATCTACCATCATACTAAATACCTTCAGGTATCTATCACTTAACTCTTTAACGCCTGAAATGCATCTTCTGTAAAACAGAAACAAAATTACTGTCCAGAGTAATGAGAATGAGTCTGGCACACCTACAACAAGACAAATGTAAGTGCCTCTTCTCATTACAACATCCTTTATATGCCCTAGTGTCAGCTGTCATACTGGGTTTAAGGCAATTTACTAAAAATTTCTAGGCTTTACATTGTTTAAAAAATAAACGACCTTCAGCCAGGCGTGGTGGCACACACCTTTAATCTCAGTAATCCCAGGCGGAGGCAAGGTGGGTCTGAGTTTGAGATCAGCCTGGTCAACAGAGTGGGTTCCAGAACAGTCAAAGTTACATTGCGAGACCCTCGTCTTAAACTTAAAAAAAGAGTAATCTTCATTGTAAGATTTAGGAAAAGTAATTTCTGCAAATATCAAAATTAATCCCAACAAACCCCATTTCCCTGCCTTCTGGGAAAAACAAACAAACATGCTTTTAAACCTAAAGCCTCTGATAGATGAGCCTAATAAACTACATAGTGTACTATGATGAGCAACAGGCTCGCTCCCATCAACACCACAGAGGCACTAATACCTGAATGTTGACTTCCTAAAAATCAATGACTAGCTAGCAATACAAAAGGCTGACACCACAGGTCGTCTGAGTCATAAAAAGGAGAACTGATCAGTATCTGTTTGACTTTAAAAGGGCTATTAAAATGGTTAGGTTATTAGAAGACTGTTTTAAGAAAAGAAAGAATTGCTTTGTAACTCAGGACTGCCAGTTTTCCAGTGAGTAAATGAAGTCCAATCACTTCACCCTAGGCACTTCCAAAGCCCAGCTTAACTTCATGTTTGCTGCCCTGAGCAAAGCTTGTGAAAGGGGTAATGAAAGAGTCTTAGAGAAGAAATATGGGCAAAAGCAAGCAACAAGAACTAAAGTTATTACTTTACCAAGAGCGTTCAAGTTTAACAGAGATGGACACCGTAAAATTACGTTATTCAACTACCTCCACATTTACATATGCCTCTCATATTTCACATCTCGAACTGACATGAGAATTTAAGAGGGAACTGCCAGTAGCATCAAAGCTGACGGAAACTGCTTAAATCCATTCCTCGAGCTACTTCTAGCACTTTTGTGTGTACCAACACAAAGCAGTTCTAAAATCTGTTCTGATAAAAAAAAATTTTTTTGACCCAAAGTCCATCCTAAAGTTAAAATCTCTTTCGGATTCAATCTCCTAGACAAACGCTTAGTCATTTAAAAAAAAAAAAAAAGATAAATCCAGCGCTATCATTAGAGAACTGTCGTTCCACCCCTCCCCCAATACATCCACAACTTTGGAAAACTTTGTTCCCAGGCTTTCTAAACCCCTACGCAGAAGCTCCCCCGAACCTCTCTCGATGGGAACGACGCCTTCACCCGGAGGATCTTTATTTTTTTCTTTATCCGCTGTAGTTTTAGTCTTTCTCACTGATAAACCTTTGCCGAAAGATCTCCAAAAAGAAAAAAAAAAAGGCAAGAGCAGGATCTACTGTACCTGGGCGTTGGCTTCGTGGAGTTTGTGCTCGGTGGAGACGTGGTGCCTGAGCAGCAGGGTCTTCTTGTAGTTGCGGGTCCCTCGCGAAAGCTCGTCGTGCCCCACCGGGGGCAGGTCCGCACCGCCGCCATCCTCGGGGGGCTTGTGGCACCAGCCGCAAAACATGAGGCCGGTATCCCTGGAGTAGCGCAGCCACGGGAAGTCCTTGAGCCAAGAGGTCTGGAAGGAGCACTGGAGCTTCTGCAGGAGGGACTTGGGCCTCGCGAGCGGGAAGTGCTGGACAGCCTCTCCGTCGCCAGCTCCCACACCGCTGCCCTCCGCGTCGTCCCCGCCATCGCCTCCCGACCGCCTGCTGCTGCCGCAGCTGCCGCCTTCCGCCCCACTGCCGTCGCCCGGGCTCGCCCCCTCCTCCTCGTCCTCCGTGCTGTCGCTCAGGGACGCGCCGTCCTGCATCAACTCCTTCCCCTCCAGCGCGTCCAGCTCCAGCTCCACGGCCGCCGGCCCGCGCCCATTGAAATGCCTGAGGGGCCACGCCGAGGTCTCCGGGCGGCCGCGGCTGCTGCCATTGTTGCCGAGACCCCCGGCGCCTCCCCCGCGGAAGGCCAGAGTCCGACGGTTCCTTTCCGCTAGCAGGGGGCCCCCCGCGCCGCCGCCC